CACGCTTTCGTCAACACTGGCCTTTTCGCCGCACACACTCCTGAAGACAAGTTCGTGTCTCTCCTCTCTCGAAACCTCGCAAACCACCCTTCTGACGCTTTGAACGATTCAATGTTCATCATTGCAGCGTACTTCTCACCTTGCGCCATGATGAGAGGTCCGCTCAAAGGCAGATGCGCGCTGCGACAGTCAGTAATCCACCGGAGCAAAGCTTCTTCGAGCTGGGGATGAGCTGCGGTTCGCAACCGCTTTCTAGAGGCATGAAACTTCTCGCTTTCGAAGGCTTGTCGAATCTGTTGTTCATTTTTCACGTACGTTCCCAACGTGCTCTGCTTCACGTTGTACTTGGTCATAACCTGCTGTCGCGATTCGCTGTTCTTCAGTGCTTCCGAAATTTCCACTTTAGTCGCCAAGTTCTTCGCGTCGTAGTTCTGCCGCTTTTTCGGCGTTGCCATCACTGTAGCGCACGATGGTGGTGGCATGCAAATACGGTCACAATGGAAGAAAAAGAGAACTCCGCAAGAAGAGATGGTTCCGACACGACAACACTAGGGAAAATGGCGTCGGAGGCGCTGAGTGGAGGAGAAAGAAGACGCCAACATTCGGTGACGCTGCGATCGCCCCCACTAGTTGATGATGATGGCGATGCCACTCAGGTTTCGGTTTCACTCCAGTGGTGCCAGCGCTGCTTTATCACACTTTTGTGTAGCAGCAGCCGTCAGCATTTCTCCGAATTAAGCGGTGCGGAGCCGAATTCCGACGAAATAACAAAGGTTTGGTCCCATAGATTAACATGCACTTTGGCCGGGACCAATAGAGGCGTCGGAATCATCCGAATTTCTGAATTAACGGGTGTCGAATTAACGAGCTTTTACTGTACCTGGAAAGGACGCTCAACCAAGTCGTCGGTAGTCGGTGCTCCTACTGATGTTTACAACATGTATACGCACAACAACGGCCTCATCGCTGAGGCACTCGAACAGTTCTGCAACATCGTCTACATGAAGTAAGTGGTCTAGACGTGACCCGTCTTTATTAAGCACGGACGAAGATTCCGGCAGCTCTTCGTTGAGGGGTGCTTCACTGACCTCTCCTGGCATCGTTTCGGATGTTTTAAAGGAAAGCTCCTTTCACTTCTTCGTATGAGGCGGGCAGTTGACACGTTTTTTGAAAGAGCGGATAGGGTGCACAGCGCATAGAGAGCCATTGTGTAGAGAGCCATTATCTTCGCGTGCTCTAGCTGGATTCTATTGCTACATCCAATATCGTGGCACTGGAGCGTCATAATAAGTGGTTTCTTTTATCGAAGAAAGCATACAAATGTGCATGGTATAGTTCTTTGTTACATCCGATATATTGTTTTAAACGGTATCGTTATAAGGGACTCAACTATTCGAGTACAAATTTGTTTCGAGCGCTTTTCGTGAACAGTTAGGAGCAATGGCATGCCCAGCTATGCTGGTGTTTTATCGACCTTGCTGATCTGGCTCAGTGGAAAGTTCTTTGATCTGCACAACAAAATAATGTGGTGCTGTAAAGACACAAGAAGCTGTGCGAAAGGTTCGGGAGTCTTTAGAGAAATTGAGGTTTGCAAGCGAAGTAAAAATTTAGTGTGACACATGTATTGGCAGATCCAGTGCCTGCTTGCTTTAAAATCTGAGCTCGATATCCCCTTTTCTGTGGCCAGCTTCCTCACTTTCACCCATTTCAGTTCCATGCTCACTGCCAAATGCGTGGCCTGCTGGTGTCAAACGAACTTTGTCAGGGCAAGTTCGATTTCTGGGAATGCCCCATTCTTCATTCTGTAAAAGCTTTTTCGCTTTCTGCTGTATGCGAAATGCGTTTCTTTTTGTCATTGCCTCCCGCACACAGTTCCCTTAATGATGCCAAAGTGCCTCACGGCCCCACCGTTTCCGATTTTTCGGCGGCTGCGATGACATTTCCCTTGAAAGCGGGAGAGTACTGCTTTAGAGGTCCTGACATCTTGCTGCAAGGTTCACACATGCCTGCATCTGCTGTCATGGTACACACTCAAAAAACTGCAACAAACAAAGAAAGAATTCTCAGCCTTGCCATGCGACGTGGCAAGGGGAATGAAGCCAAGTCGTCGCCATGCGGCAATTACACGTCTGAAACTTCAAGAACTTTATTTTTATAGTAAGTTTTTGTTCAGATCTGCAAATAATATGAGGCAAAAATCAAAAACTCTATTATTATGAAAAAACAAAACCCCGAAATATGTGGGGGTTTTTTAGTAGCTTGAAATTCCCAAGTACTAAGCTTAATACGTGCTATCTATTTGCTGCACTATCAACTGGCAAAGAATTGCTTGAATCATTGCACAGACCATGGCAGCTTTAGGTGTGAACTTAGATGCAGACACAATGTTAGCTGATGGGGCACATGTGTTCGTGATGAAACAGAAACGTATCGAGCATCTTGGTGTTCCAAGCTGCACGCTGGGAATTTATTAAGGTGTTCAATTCTCTGGAACGGCTTGTGGGGCTATGGCATAATGCTTACAATATTCAGTTTCTGTGGAAGTGGTCCTGAATTCATATCCTGTGAAAAAGAAAAAAATTGATTGTTTTTTTTTTCTATTCTTTGTTTGTCTTTCATGTTCTCATGGTTCATTGGATTATGGTGCCCTACTATCATCGTTCGATTTCACGGGCTCGCACCCTGTATCCAAAACATTGCAATTGCATTGCGAACCACCTTCGAGTGTTAAAGCACCACCAATGCCCTCTTTTTTTTTTTTTCAAGTGGAGCCACTGCAAAAAGCTACGTTGATGCCGTACAAAACTGCAACTTTGATAGCTCGTGACCGCCACTGAAAAGCAACAAATGCTGGTTAGGCTTCGTCTGTGCTTTGGCATGTCACAGAAAGTTCATACAAGGACATGAAAATTGGGCGTCGAAAAGATTGCACTCACTAAGAGCATCGCGCATGATACGATGTTTAGGTTCGTGGCTGGGAAATCAACGGCAACAAAGGTCTGCCGAGCTGCGCAAATCTACATAGTGGCAACAAAGGCAGATGCCCGTGTTGGAAGCTGAAAAGCCTTTAAATTTCCAAATAGAGGTAGCAAACGCGATAACAATGACCCTTTTCCTGATAGGAAACTCAAAGCGCATTTGTTGAGGACGCGATTGCATGTTTCATGCAAAGCGGGAGCATCCAGCAAGCGGCACAATCAGCGCTACCGCTCTTTTTTTTTTTTCTCTCTTTTATTTTCTCGCGCCCGTCAACGTAAAAGGGTGTTGAATTGAATCTGTACAAATACAGTACAAAACTACTGATTACGGCCAAGTTCTGTGTGCGCCTGTTTGTGCATAAATAAAAAAAAAAATATGATTTTTCGTGACAAAACTGTAGGAACGCCTATAATGCGAGAGAATATAGTACAGTCAATTCACGGGCAGAAACTCACCATAATAAATTGTGATACAGGAGGGCGAGATATTCTGGGAAGTGCATATTAACAATAAAAATCTGGCTTTATTTCTATTTGGTCTCGCAAGGCGTCATGTTCACATAGAAATCGTGTGCTGAAATGAAAGGGAGGTCGTGGGTTTAAAATCGACTTAGTTGCCTCACACTCATTTATTATGTGCAGGAATCCGTTTTTTTTCTTCTGCAACATTTACTGATGTTCTTGGGAAAAGGCCATGCCGCCTGACAGAACTGTTGTCTAGCCTTCTACCAAGCCATTGTTATGTGTGTGTCTTGTCAGTTCCTGTATTGTGTGTATCATAGTTTGTCTCCACTGCTTAAATTTTGATCATGTATAGTCGGTGGCAAAAATTTAAGGACCACAAAATACAAGAAATAAAAACTGAATATTCTCTCTGTTTAGGCAGGGAGCCTAAAATTAAGATTTCCGGCCTGTCGAATACTCTGCTGGGTTACAGAATGCAGGTAAACATTCGGAGAACTGAAAGGCTTTCCCAGACGAGCTGGTCTCTAAACTTTCAATGCCAATCGTTCAACCAACTAACCTGCAAGACCAACCAAAGGAAGTTATTTTATTTTGTTAACAATTATTTTTAACACGTACCACTAAACTTAGTATCCCTAACATGGCTATGCTATCAAGATAGCATTGCTGATAATTTTGGCTGATTGCATCAATTTGGCAAGACAGCTTCAGTTGTTCTCATAAGTATTGCTATGCATGAATGTGATCAAAAATTGAAGGAAAATGCTGCTGAACTGCTGTTGAAGTGAACTTATTTTTGGTGGGGAAACAACTGCCTTTCTTAACAGTGTAGTTAAGTACGATTTGCTCACTCTCCCCGAGCCTCAAAAGAGGATAAGTAAATGCTTTTAGTAAAAGTGACCAGTTCAGTTTTCAGTAAAACTGTTTCATATGTTAAAATAAATGTGTGAACATTATGTATTACATATGTGCACATTTATAGAGAAGAGGCAACAGGTATAAGGGGTCATTCTTGCTCTAGAGTCTATACATTATCCTGTAGCCTTAGTCTACACATACTTTGGTGATAAGTTCTGGTAGAAAAATCTCAGCCTGTAAACTGTATGAAATGTGATTGAATGAGATAAAGCAAACGTGCTTTTGAATGATTTGCCTGTGTTTGCAGTGTTAGGTAGCAACAGTTATCTTTTGCCATATTAGTTAAGTAAGGGGTAATAAATATAGCTACTTTAGTTAAGTATGGCATGACTATATCATGACTTTCATTTAACATGGTAGAAATAATTAAATGGAAATCATGGTTATAATTGTCTCTGCAGTTTTGTTATATGCCTCTTTTTTTTTCACTTATTTTGCCAGTACAACTTTAGTGACAAGGATAATTTTATACTTTAGCATGTTTTCACAGGATGAAATTATTTATACAGCACTTTTGCAGCTTTTTATATGGCATGTGTAACTAATTATAGGTTTGTTTGGATGTGCACTTGCACCATTGTCATATGGGCTTGTTTGTTTTGAAATGGTGCTTCAATGATTCCTTATTACGCATCGCAGTGCTTTGACCTGGAGTCTTACCTACAACTAAATTGTGAACGAGGTTCTTGGCGGTGCCCAGTATGCAGGTAAGGATTGCGTCATATTTTGTGCTGATGAGCCTTTCAGTTACCCAAGTATTGAGAAATGAAAAGTTTTCGTAATTCCAAGGGTTGTTGCACTGGCACCAGCACAACCTGTTCATTGTCACTATCTCTGTCTGAATGCTGTACCATTAAATGAAGCTTTTCCTAATTCTGCTGAGGCTTGTAAATTCTTTATTTGTGCACCTGCTTTACCTCGGTTACTATGTCGACTTTGTTGGAGAGGGTGGAGAAGGAAAATATTCCTGAATGAAGCTGTGGGTGAATGTGCGCTGGTTAATTCTAATGGTGACCATTTCTTCTTCCCCGAGCGAATTGGCCTTTACGTTGTTCAAGAAACCAAATCTGTATTCATGGCATTGGCAACAATTTATTATGAGATCTTGTGTCACTGTGATTGTAATTTAAAGGTGTTAAAATAGCATACATTCATGTATCCAAAGTGGTTCTAGGGTGTTTTGGAAGCCTTCATGTACGGCAATATGAATTGAAACATTTTCAGTAGAGGCATGCACTGCAATCTTGTGGTGTTCATGATGGTTGCAAAGTCAAACAATAATTAAATTCATGGGTCGTTCACTTAGGAGACATCCAAGTGCACCCAGATGTAGGCAGCTAGATAGATGAATATAGTTGAAGTGCCTTTGGTTCACTACGAAATGCATCGTATTTAAAACTAGTCAATTTGGGCACTGCATTTGTAAATATTGGTATAAACCCTTTATTCGAAGGAGGAGCCTTGCAATGGATTTATATAGACAGTTCTGAAAGATTTCACTGCTCAGTGAATTCTTTCAGATGTCTGTCTTGTTTACAAATTTTGCGTGACAAAGATTTCACTGATCAGTCAATTCTTTCAAATGTCTGTCTTATTTACAAATTTTCCGTGACATTTCTTCTTTGAATAAATGTGGTGTGGGCTTATTTCTGCCAAGATGAGTGCTGTCCTCTTTGTTTTTTACTTATTTACTGTGCCTTTTAAAGGTTATCTAATTAACTAATGTGGGACCGTATTTGTTTTATAACAAGAGATATATAAGTCTTGGAAGTGCTTGTAAAATATTAGGAGGCTTACCATACCGTAAAAGAACGCATATAGCCCGGGGTTTTTCTTCTAGATTTTAGGGTACGAAATTTTGGCTCCGTACTATATGCGGGTCCCAAGAATTTTCGGCCGAAATTCAGTTTTGGTTTCGGCATAGCGCGGTGCTATCATCATCATCAGGTGTTTGCGCACTTCTGCGCCAAGTGCTAGGTAGTGTTAGTGGCCATAGGAGACGCTAGTCTTACAGACCCATGCGTGCAACTGTGGTCAGTGGCCTTTGCTTTAACTTGGTGCCCTTAGTGACAGCCACAATTTCGCTTCTGTGATTTTACCCCATGTCAGCACCGCGCAGGCAGTACTCTGCTGCTTTTAAAAGGAAAGTTATTGCTGCTGCTGAAACCATTGGCAACTGTGCCGCGGAGCGGCACTTCGGAGTCAACAAGCAGGGTATTCGCAATTCACGAAAGCAGAAGGACGCTCTCTTTGCCTGCAGCGGCCAGCGAAAAAGTTTCCGCGGACCAAAAAATGGAGCGTCTCCTGAGATGGAACGAGAACCCGCAGACTTTGTGCGGGAGCAGTGAGCTGCACATCGTGGAGTTAACATCGAGCTGCTACAAGTGAAGGCAAGGAGATCACCCAAGACAAAGGCATCCAGCCGGAGAATTTCAAAGCGAGCAAACATTGGGTGTCTCTCTTCATGCACCGCACTGGGTTCTATGTCGGCGTACGTTGATTTCGCAGAAGCTACCAAAGAGCGACAAAGAGGACCTTGTAAAGTTTCAAAAGTATGTAATTGCATTGCGAAAAGCTGTCCCCTTTCAGCTGGGCCAGATCAGCAACAGGGATCAAATGCTGGTCTATCAGGATATGCCCTCGACGCTGACCGTGCATCAGGAAGGCTCCAGGCAAGTTATCGTGCGATCGACTGGGAGAGACAAAACACGGGTTTTGTCCTGCACTGGTCGCAACCTACCGCCCTACATGGTGTTCAAACGAAGGACGCTGCCGGAGGGGGAGAAGTTACCAAAAAATGTCGTCTGCTGCCAAAACCTTATAAGGTCCGTATGGTGTTGACGGCCCGGAGCACTGCTGAGGCGCTCCCTTTGATGCTTGTGCTCGACGAGTTTTGATGTCGTCTGACAGACTTCGTAAAGCGACATTTGTGCGATTGCTGCTCCGAGCTCGTCATCCCTCTCGCTGCAACTGTTCGATGTGTGCCTTAATAAGCCAGGTCATGTCAAGCGCCTGTACGCTGAGTGGATGAGGTCCAGAGAACTAGAAGCGACCCCTGTCGGACTACTGAAACGGGCCTCACCAGCAATACTGTGCTCATGAATTGTCAAAGCTTGGGCCTGAATTCCCGAAAGGCTCGTTTGCCGCGCATTCAGAAAGGGCTGCATCTGGAACGTGCTTGAAGGCACTGAAGGGAACATTTCCGACAAGGAACCTTTGGAAGAGAGTGCGTCCGACAACGTCGATGAATGAAATGTGTCAATTAATGCATCTTCCCATTTTACTCTGGCTATGTTTGGGTAAAAACTTTTTTTTTTTTCACGTTTGCTATCTCCAAATTAAACCCCAGACTATATGCGGGTCCGAGCTATATGCGGGCTTTTACGGTATTTATACGTTTGTGAGAATTTTACTCTTTGGTTTGCTTATACAGCTATGAGTTGTATCAAGATTCTGGTGAGATACAGAAAAACGAAGCGAAGCTAAAGGCCATTCGGCCTGACGTGGCTTCGCTACGCAAAATGATAGAAGTTCAGCAAACAGTGCTACATTGAGTAATAACTATAACAATACAAGGAGCAGCATAATAAGAGAACACAGAAATAGCATAAAAGCAAAAATAGGTGACATATAAATACAAAAAATAGGCTCCATAGACGCACAGAATCAGACATCCAGGCTCTGTTCATTACATATCCAAAGACACATACTTACATATTGTTAAATTCATATAATACACTTATATCTTCATAACATACATCTGCCCATATGTACATACATACTACTGTATATACACGCGTTTTGTACCTAAAGGTGAGAGTATATATGGAACCTAGCCAGAAGTTTATTGGAAACATGTTTACTTTACTCAATTAATGAGGAGATGTTTTATGTGATATTTGAATTGCATTAATGAGAGGTTAAAATCTAATTGCTCACCTAAATGATTTATAAGCTGTGGGGCGCGATATGCAATTAGGGTTCTACCATATCCAGTCCTAGTAGCAGGAACGCGAATTTGTTGTCTACGGAGCGAGTATTTGTGTGCGCCTTCCTGTGCCGTAATAGTGTGGAGTTTATTTTAAAGTTTATTTTAAAGTAATTATGTAAAGTAATAGCTTGTAATCATACACCTGTTTTGCTTTGAGCATAACATGTTTTATATATAGTGGACCGCAATTTCTAATGCATATACAAATTCTTAAGCCTTGCCAAGAATTTACTTGAGTTTAGCACTTAACACTGTTCTGTGGTGCATTTTTTTGTGCAGCAAAACAGCCATTCTTGAAGGTCTGGAAGTGGACCAATACATGTGGGGTATTTTGACCAACCTGAGCAACTCTGATGTGGAAGAAGTAACCATTGATGCCACAGCTAGCTGGAAACCAGTCACTCTCAAATCAATTAAAGATGAACACGACGGAACAGGTGAGTTGCCACTGGTGTATTCAGCAAATCAATTTGCATAGAACATTGTAGGATTATATTTAGTGGGACTTGAGTAGTGGTTCCTGATCATGTTAAATCAGCAGCTGAGGCACTGCTTAGCTAAGCTCAAGGATGCAGGTTAGATTACTGGCGGGTGAATTTTGATGGGGGCATAATGAAAATGTACCGATGTGTTTTTATTGAGATGCATAGAAAAGTTCCCTGGTGGTTAGAATTAAACCGGGTATGCCCCTTTGTGCCATGCCCCATGATAATCACATTGGGATTTCGCCTCATAAAACCATGTAATTTAATTTGTATGGTGGCTTTGTTTGCTTCAGAGTCGTGCAGTGGGGGCAAGCGACTGAAGGCTATGTCTCCTGGCAGCATGACAATGCCAACTACAAGTAGTTGGGAAATGGGACAGGGTCTCGCACCTTACCCGGCCCTACCTCCACCTGACATGCAGTGTGAGTATATCCTTCTAAGTATGGCTGCTCCATACTTGCATTCCTTGACCAAATAAACCAGATCCCTTGACCAAAAATTTATGCATTGCAATGCATTTTAATGAAATTACTAGGAATCTTTTTTTTTTTTCAAGTCTATTGTAAATAAAAATGTGGCCTTGTAAGCAACAGTGTGTTCATGCTCAGCAGGTTCGGCCAGGAATCTACTATTTGCCTGTCATCAGCTGCAAGCTAGAGTAAAAATGACAAGCTTTGCATTCTGGAGCTTCTGTAGTCAGCTTGTCTTGTCTGATAATCTTTAGTTCATGAAAAAAGACCTCATAGTAACCATTGCATGTCAAGAGCATTGTGTTCATGAAATGTTGTGCCTTCAACGTGAACATATGCTTTAGGAACATTTTAAATTAGTTATCATTTTTAACCCAATAAAACTGGCACAACAGTATGATGCACATCATTTATCTAAATAATCCCTACTCTCTGAATCTACATTTAGAAGAAAACAAGCTCAGAAACCTGGTCTTAGAACATTTGTATTGTTGCAATATTATATTGAGCAGTGAAAGCAATGCAGAGGCATAGCAATGAAACTACAGTCTATACAGTCGATCCCGGATATATCAAACTCGGATATATCGAATTATAGGCTATATCAAACATTCTAGAAATCCCCTTGAAATTCCCATGAAAAAGTATGAAACTGGTGCACCTTTATATTGAACTCCCGCACAGCGGGACATCCGCTATATCTAACACTGTGCCGCGCGGAAAGCCAGAAAGTGCATTTTTCCCAGCAAATATTGATCAATTTTTGGCCACATTCTAACAAGTTTTGATCCCTTTGAGTGCGCATTTGACAAAGAAGCGGTATTATTCCGTTGCGAGGATCAGTTTCGCGGCGTGGGCCTTGCGAGTGCACCGGTATGTTTGATGCGCGATCTGCAGGTCTTAACACGTGGGCTTAGTGTTTTTCAAAAAGACCGTTTTTTGATGGTGCCAAAATGAGAGTGCGAAGTGACTCGGTGATTTCGTTGCAAAATTCGCATTTTCTTCCTTGTTTGCTATGGCACACGAGCCTGAAAAGCATGGCCTTCGAGATGTGCAACCTCATGGCTTCTCTTTAGTGTTTTCGGTTTTAAAATACACGTCTCAGAGGCTAAATTTTTTTATTTTTGCATCGGAGCAGCTGAAAACAGCGGCTTCCAGCTAGAAGGCACAAGTGACATCGATATCGCCAACATGTCGGCTGTGGCAACTCTACATTGTCGTTTGCACTTCCTAGACATGTGAACTTCTCGCCTCGTTCCTGGTGAATTCTCATTTGGGAGTTGAACTGAACGTTGACCCTCACGTAGCGATAAAAATTAAAACTGGTGCTTGGAGCGACGTCAAGTAAAGCACCGTCGTAAACTTTCTTTGCGGAACAGGTGACGACTTTGAGTGCGTCGTGATCGCTGGCATACAGTGCCTTGGTAAATTCTGTGACCTATGAGCGTTTCTGACCACCATCTCTGACAGTGAGCGACTTATCGATGTAAATGACGATGCAGCTGTTTTTGACTGCTTTAATTTAGGCTCTAGTTTTGACAGTAAATATGCATATTTTATTTTTCGCATTATCGATATATATAACTATTTTGTGATCCCCTTTGAGTACTATATATCCGGGATCGATTGTAGATAAATGTCAAGGGGATGCGTAGTACTCTTGCATTACTTTGCCCCTAAGTTAGTGCATGTGGCTTGTGGTTCATATGTTTGCAGAATATGTGGAGCTTCCTCAGACTCTCTCATGAAGTAAATATTCTTTCACTCGGACTCAGACTCTCAAAAGTTTTCATCAACTGTACTCACTTGGATTCAGACTAGCTAAACTCACCATAATATTACTTACTTGGACTCGCTGAGACTCATGACTCAATCTGAGTCTGAGCAAGTTGACTCATGCATCTGTTAGCGTATAATTTGCATTTTCGACCACAGTGTCAGTGCTCTTTGACACCAATATCTGATATTATCAGTGTTCTACTTGGCAGTTTTTGAGCTTGCACCTTCGAATATGAGATATCAGTGGTTGCAATTCAGTAACGACATGTTTATTCAAAGATATGACTCACACAAAATATTTCTATCAATAAGTTCTCGTAGGAAATATCTGGGGGAAGCGGGGGATGTGGAAACTCGCACCCTGGATTAGTAAATATTCAACTGACGTATGAATGCTAGTGCACTGAAATATGTGTGAGTAGACGAGAGTAAATGCGAGTGTAAATGTGAGCTGACCTAAGGCTGATAATAATGCTAAAGTAGATATGACCGTAGGTTGGAAAAAAAAATGTGGAGCTTACTTAGGCTCACTCAAGAAGTATACTTTGTTTTTAGAGCTCACTTGGACTCACTTACCAAAATTTTCTTCAACCAGACTCGCTCGAAATCTGACTTGCCAGAATTTTTTTTAATTGGACTCACTCAAACTCAAATTAATCACAATATTACTCACCTAGATTCCCTGAGACTCACTCGTAGCTCAGAGTCTTCTGTGAGTGAGCCTGTGTGAGTCAACTCATGAGAGAGATTGCCAGCCTGTTATGTGATTTGTAGCTGTGCAATGTAAAACTTAGTATGTATATTGAAGGTGATATCGCAGTGAAAACCATTCTTGCACCATCATTTTACAGAATTTCATATTATGGTATTTGTGCATAATTTCTGGTGGTGAAGCAATAACAGCACAGCTTCTTATACTGAATAATAATGGTAAATCTAGGTTGACATCCATGCTCTCCTTTAGCGTGCAATCTGCCTGTTGTAAGAACAGCATGAATGTTAAGCACAGAATGATAAATGAACACATGTGATCGTATGTGTTTCTTCCTCGTTGCATGCTTTATGTTCGTGCTGTTCTTACCATCATAATTCACCAACTTGTCCAGCAAGCTTCACCACTAGTTTAACAGTGGAAAGCACTATTTCAAAATCTACATGTTGAACACTCGCTCCCAAAGCAGGGCAAGCTAGGCCATTCATTCCTGGGTGGATGTCTGAATACTTGATGTTACTCGTCCCATATTGGTATTTTCCATCTTTTATTTTAAGCAACAGTGATTCTGAGGCAAACTTGGTAACCATCAACTTACCTGCTAAATAAAAGCTTTGCCAGAGTGTTGCAGCTCATTGCATGGACTGCACAGCTCCTTTGTAGCCATCACTGAAGCATGATACTCGCAAACTGGCTCCCTGCTGATTAGTTGTGTCAATTTCACAGACTCTTTATGAGAAGCTGTTGATTGAAGTATGACATTCAAACTTAAAATTCAATTGAATACTTTCGTTTTGGTGGTGTAGTGCTGCTGCTGCTTTGACATGAGGTCTGCTATCAGCCTGCCATTGTGAGAGACTTTTTCCAAAATGAGTATACTTACAAACAAGCTTTGACTATGCTCCAAATCTCAGAATTCAGTGTTGTATCTGTAGAAGCACACATGCCTATGATAGATCATCTCACTGTGGTACAAGGTACCAAATCGCATAGTGTCATGAGAGATAGTTTTCATTAGTTTTGCCAAAATAATGATTTTTAATGATTATTTTTGAGCATGTTACTGCTCTTTGCACCTGAATATCATTTATGCATAATATGGCCCTTAGCATGTACAAATACTTTCCTGCAGCCATAGTGAATGGACCCAGCATGGCCAATGGGCCAGTCATGGCTGGTGGCCCTGTGATGACCAGTGGTGCTGGCATGCCTAATGGCCCAGTTATGCCAAGTGGTCCAAGTATGTCCAATGGGCCTGTCATGGGCAATGGCTCGGGCATACCCAACGGAATGGGCTATGGCAACCGCAATGGCGGTTTTGACTTCCACTCACAAGCATCTGACTTTGGCAGTCCCCTGTCTCACCTGAGTGATAGTGTAGCCTCTCTGGACCACCTTGCTGCCATGGAGAAGTCACTGAACCATCATGAACAGGCAAGAATGGACACATTTATATTTTCACATGTTTTTACAGTGACTAACTTGCACTGTTGGGAAGTGTTTGTCAAGCATTGGACAATGTATGCTACTGAGATATATAGATTTGGTCTGTTTCCGCTGATCATTGTCCCTACACTCAAATTTAACCTTTCGAGAGTAATTGGTCTTTACACCACCATCACAAGTGGTCAGCTTTATGACAGCTCAGCCATGTAGTTATGTCATTTTCATGACATTCCTGGAAAGCCTATTGTCAAAATTACATGACTTCTGCAGCTGCAGGATCTTGAGAAAGTCGAACCAAAATACATGACTCACTTTAAAACAAAGCTGATGATGCCTTAGTAGTCAATGTTAAAAGTATGCAGTTTATTCTAAATTGTTTAAACTGCATTTTTTTGCAGCAGAACTACTATACAAAGAGCTTTAACGTTTTCTATATTAGTTGCCTTTGCTGGGAAAAGTATTGAGAATGCCAAAAGGAGCAGTACACAGAAATTTGAACAGTCTGTGGTAACAGCTAATCTGCATTTTTTTAACCTCTCTGCTTACAGTATGCTGAACTGTTGAAAAACAAACAAATCATTGAATAAAGTACTACTTGCAGTAACGACGACAAGAAAACCAAACCAATATTGAACTTGATATGTGATGTCATTTTAGGTTATGTAACTAGTGGTGGTAGTGAAAGTATGGTGGGTGAAAAATATCTGAGAAATGCATGTCATTTCTTTGCTGGCTCATGCAGTTCTTAAAATTATCTAGAAAAGGGTGAAAATTGGATGTTCTTGTATGAAATTTGGAAGGATGTCACTTGGTGTACAATGGTGCAGGCTGTTGCGACCGGGGTTTGTAGGCACCGGAGGTCCGGAAGGAAGTTGTCGAGGCAGTAGGAAGAGAGACTTGACGAGGGTTTATTTACATTATATACAAGTGAGCTCTCGTACACGACGAGCTCTTTCTTACATGGCGAGCTTTCGAATCTGGCGTTCCTCCACATGGCGCTCCTTCGAATGAGTCGGGTGGCTCATTATAAAGGGCATGTTCTCCCTAGATCAGAGAACATGCGCGGCCCACGTGAACGTCCAATATTGAGGCGTGATCACTGTTTTCCAAAGTGGTGCCAGCGGGGCTCTTCCTCGTCGTGTGTGTGTCGCTGGTCGAGGGGTCTCAAACTCCTGACAGCATAGATCAAAGGGTCCGCCGAACCGCTCGCCTAATTAGCGGGGCGATTTGCGGCGGCCGCGGCGGTCGCTTCCAAGTAGGATGCTGTACTCGTTGTCGTCTCACAAACCACTTACGGCGTTGTGGCGACACGTCGTCTCACCCTCCGTCTAAGAGGGACAATAACTGGCGGGCATAGGCAGCCAGCCGTTCGGCTACTTGTTTGAAGATTCAAAGAGCGCCGCTCCCTCGTAAGCTCGGGCGCCAGTCACAACAGCTCGTCCGCTGGCGGGAGACTCGACCTTAGGGTGACCAGCTGCACAGGTTGTCCAAAGTGTCGTAGTGTGGTGCCGTCTTCCAGGCCACTGTCGATGACGCCCAGCCAAAGACTCTTTCCCGCTCGTTTCTTGTGGCTACCTTCTGGGCAAAGCATTCATACACACCACCACAGGCACGGGAGAGCGCCCTGCCCGCACTGAGACCCATCGAGTTAAAAAAATTTTCCAAAACAACCTTCCTTAAGTAGTATTACCAAACATGAAGCAGCAACTGGAACGTCTGTCTGAGCTTTCACCAAAACTCGCGATCCCGATTCGAGAATAATCTTCACATTAGCTACTTTCAAGAAAGCTAACTGTCAGAGGAGGCGTTCCCCGTAGCACACCTATGTGCTAGCGAGAGCAATCCGCTGTAACCTACCAGGCCTCACTCTCATAAAATAAAGCCTTTTGCTTCACGCCATATTTTAGTTTCCAAAATTTTGTGCCGCCAAAGCTAGTCGTCAGTTCCCTCAGAGCTGACGAAGAGACAACTGTCATGCTGCACCTGCGTGGATGAACTACTAATTCTGCCTTGCGGTATCCATCTTTATAAAAGCCACACATTAACTCTCGAACTAACTTTCCGTACTGATGTCCACACTGGACACATGAAAAGAAAACATTAAAACAACAAAAGAAACTTTCGCATGAACCCTGTAAAACTTACATGGAGTATCTTTGCATCTCTGCGCTCAGTCGTACTTAGTTCTAACGTCGCCCCTGCTCATTTACGCGTATCTACTATGATGCAGGCTCCTATCTGTGTCTTTTATGCAATCGCACAATGCTTACCTTATAGAAACGTGCAACGCCCAAAGAAATGAACAAAACCAAAAATGGGTTACCTAAACACTATCTACTAGCCGACATACTAGCAGAACACTTTCTAAAACCCAAAACAAACTTAAACTGCAAATTCAAACTTTAAAACAAAACGAATTTACTAGTGAACATCATCAAAAGCCTACCGCCGCCTACACCCTTTTGAGACGAACACGTGCTGTCGCGTCCTGTGGGTCTTTTTCGGCGAACAGGAAATGGAACTATGGCAAAACCCATTCGCTTCGCCTCCGACCCCCACAAAGCTCTTCGCTGGCAACCAGAGTTCTTACTCTCGCCCAGTTACTATTAGCGAGCCACAGACCTCGCACTACCGCGGCCCATCAAACCTGCAGTCGATAGAGCGACGAAAGGCTGACGGTCCCCTTCTTTCCGTTTGCCTGTTCACCCAACGTGCTTTTTCTGTTTCGTTTTGTCCGGCGGCTCGAACACATACAAAGCAAGAACACATACAACGCCGACGACAAATGCCTAATTCTTTAAACTGCCCTCGAACGTTTACTAACTTTTTCAAGCGGGCTAGGCTCTTTGTCGTACTCTTTGCTTTACGACGCTACTTCCGTCTACGCCTCTTCTTAAGGGGCATTTCTGAGCCTCTCACTCCCACCTTCTGTACACACTGCTCGTCCGAAGCTGGTGTTCTTGCCTGGCGGGTCGAAATCTTCCTGGACCCTGCATGCAAGATTCACCGTCGGGACAGCCTCCCTGTGTCTGTGCCAGATGTTCTAAAACTGTCTTAGCTGTTTCGCTAGATTTACCCTGGCACAGCACCACGTTGTACTTATTGTGGCCTTCGTCGGCATCTTCTCTTAGCATAGCAACATTCGCAGTTGTCAAACTCAGTTCATTCTGGTACCTGCCGTTACCCTCATAGGTGCTAGACTCTTCTCTATGGCTTCGATCTCAACTGCAATATAGCGATTATTAAACTAGTGCTACACTAACATGACATTTCCTTGTGTCTAGGCATGACACGCAACGGAAACACCATACACTATTTTCCGTCAGCTGCTGTCACCTTATTTTGAAGGAGCTCATCTCTTAAGCCCTGCACCTCGCTCTAATGCGTATCACTATCTTTCCGATAGATATATATACAACGCATATAGGCAACAAAACGATAGAGCGCTAACGAAAACAAAGTTCAAACTAGTTATGTACAAAACCACTAAAGTAACAAACAAAAAATTCTCTTCGACAGTCCTGAGTCAACATTTCTAAGAAGCTAACAGCTTTTCTCAACAACTTTGAGTCGAACTCGTGGTGGTCGCGACCGGAACGATTTTCTCAAAAATCGGGGTGTACAACACACGCATAAGTGAATTGCCTAGCTACCTAATCCTGCAACGTTCCTCGAAGCAAACTTGCCGTCGTCCCTTCCTGCTACCTCTCGAAAACCACCAACCTCTGTGTTCCGTACCTCGTCCAATGCGCCGCGAGAACAATGGAAGGGTCTCTTATTGTCTGACCACTTACACGCACAATGCCTTTCTCCTTTCTTTGCTCTCCGGCTGTTCGGACGCTTGCAATACGGCGACTTTCTCGCAGTTTCACTCCGCCATTTGAATACATTCCTCAAACGTGTCACGATTTTCGCCTGCCTGTTTTTAGGATGCTTTCTCTGTTTTGCACGCTTCTTGGTGCTGTCTACAAAGCCTTTCGCCCACCTCTGATGCTCATCAGCACCCACATGCCTGTTATCTCTTTCACGCGCACTGTCTTGATTATTGCCTAGTAATTTATTATCGAACACTGCCGCGTATAATGAGCTTTTCTTTTCCGGCGGCTCAGACGCATACGATACAGACCCGTCAGAGATGACAACGGCACTTTTCTCGCGATTTCAATCTGCCGTTTGAAGCCCTTACTCAAACGTGTTGTGCTCATCGCGAGCTTTGCCTTACTGTTGCCCTTCGGACGCTTTCTCCTATGTGCACGCTTCTTTGCGCGGACCTGAGAGTCTTTCGTCCCACTCTGACGTTCATCATCGATATGCTCCTCCGCTGTCTTACGCGCACAGTCCTGATGATCGCCTATCAGTTCATCGTTATACCGCGGCCATGTAGATTGTGCTTTTCTTTTCCTTACTGTCCGGCCGCTCAGACGCAAGCGATTCAAGCCAGTCAGAGAAGACAACGGGCCTTTTCTCGCGAATCCGCCATGCTGTTTGAAGGTCCTCGTGCTGATCGCAAGCATTGCTGTGCTTCCGTTTTTCGGACGCTTTCTCCATTTGACACACTCCTTGGTGCCAACTTTGGAGCCTTTCGTCCGCCTCTGACGCTCATCAATATCGTCTATAGGGCTGCAAGGTTCGATTCTCATGGAACATTCTGTTAATTTTAACTCCGTTTCCACAACCACGGAACCCTCACACCTTGCTTCAACCACGAGCTCTTTTTCTTCGGAACGGGTTCGAATCTCAACCCGTCTTTATAGGCACTAGCCTTCTCTTCGGCCTTAAATGGCACCGCCAATACATCGCACCGTTCGTGCGCTACAACTGCAAATGTCCGGCCAGTAGCCTTCTCTTCGGCCTTAAATGGCAACACTGCTACATCGCACCGTTCGCGCGCTACATCTACAGACGTCTGGCCTCTTTTATGCAATACCACCACTTTACGATGCATCCTTTCTAGCTCGTCATTTGATTCCTGCATCTTCTTGTAATCTTCCTTTCTGCGCTCAATTTTCTCTTCCTCTTCCTGATCTAATAAATACATATTCAGGAAGTGCTCGATTTCCGCCTTTTCATTTTTGCTTTCAAGAATTACTTTACTTAGTTTAGATGCTGGCATATTGTCAAAATTTAGGTCAAGATCCCAACACAGGTTCAGCAGGTTCTCTCTTGTCAATTTCCTGAGGTCCATGACTACTGCTTTGCTTTGGCTCAGCTGTGACGAAACACAAACCCACCAGCATTTCAATTCTGGGTCTGGAGAAATTGAAGCCTGGCCAATCCCATAGCGGAGACCACAAGTTTAAGCACACAAGTAGCACTACGTGGTTAACCTCCCTCTTTAACCTGTTTCCTGTTTCACTCTACTAATTTTTAAAACATCCCAAAATTTCCTGCAACATAACCTTGAAACTCCCGCAAAACTTTTGTTCCTATCAAAATTATCTAAGCTTCGTTTCCTTAACCTACTTGCTCAGATAAACATCCAGATCTGCTTTGTGCTGAGATTACAACTACAGTGGCCAGGCAGTTGTTGGTCATACCTATCTTTTAACAAATCTAGGCTAAAAGAATCAATATATCTCAAGCACAAAGCCAGGCACTCACCCCATTACATGCGGTTGTCGTACGCTGCACCAGGGCTTTCGGCTGTCCTCCGGTCCATGTCATTCACCGTCGCTGAGTCATATCCCACCGCTGCTGACCAGTTGTTGCAACCGGAGTTTGCAGGCACCGGAGGTTCGGAAGGAAGTTGTCGAGGCAGGAAGAAGAGACTTGATGAGGGTTTATTTACATTTTATACAAGTGAGCTCTCGTACATGACGAGCTCTTCCTTACATTGCGAGCTTTCGAATCTGGCGTTCCTCTACATGGCGCTCCTTCAAATGAGCCGGGTGGCTCAATATAAAGAGTATGTTCTTCCCAGATTCTTAGATCAGGGAACACGTGCATAGGTTACTGTCCAATCACAAGTCACACACAACTGGTGAGGGGGACGAACATGCACAGCCCACGTGAACGTCCACTATTGAGGCGTGATCACTGTTTTTCAAGGTGCCGCCAGCGGGGCTCTTCCTCGTCGTGTGTGTGCCGCTGGTCGAGGGGTCCCAAACTCCTGACAGCGTAGATCAAAGGGTCCACCGAACCACTTGCCTACTTAGCGGGGCGATTTGCGGCGGCTGCGGCGGTCGCTTCCAGGTAGGATGCTGTACTCGTTGTCGTCTCCCGAACCGCTTACAGCGTTGTGGAGACACGACGTCTCACCCTCCGTCTAGGAGGGACAATAACTGGCGGGCATAGGCAGCCGGCCGTTCGGCTACTTGTTTGAAGATTCAAAGAGCGCCGCTCCCTCATCAGCTTTGGCGCCAGTCACAAGAAGGCATAATCTGCAACTCAAATTTGTGTATGATCAAAACGCCATGTGGCTGTGTAATTGGGCATAAATGATTGGGTCGTAGAGCACAACTTGCGGAGTAATATTTTGCCCTTGTCATTTGTATGAACCTCAAAAAACTCGAAAGAATTGCACTTTATGTTTACAACAAACCAAGATATCAGTTAAGGTATGAACACACTGGCGGGGAGCATGCCGCGGCGGCGTCCGCCCGTTGGTGCCTCCGCTCGGCAGCCAGCGGCGCGCTGTCCAAGGCGCCGCGGGAAAAGCGAGACAAGAATGCACATGTCGAGACGCGTGCACCCACCTACTAGCTGCCGGCTCGCGGCTTGTCTTCTCCGCGACAGATGGAGAAAGAAAAAAGCATGGGTGAAGAGGCACCGCCAATGTGAGGGGGAAGGGAGGAAAAGCAGGCGCTCATTGGTGGTTTGCTTGCCCAGAGCCGGCAGCAGCGGCAAAAGTAGCCCAGCGAGCGATTCTGTCGGCAACAGAAATTCTATGACACTCGGCGGGAGAAAGAGAAAAGCGACGTCTCGCGACCGGCGCGCGAGAGAGCGCGGCACTGCCAGTGTGTTCGTACCTCTATAGAGAAGATGGTACAGTCAACACTGCTTATTTTTAACTTTACTTATTTATTCAACCCTTCCCAGTTTCAAGTTTTGGAAGTATTTAATGTTTGCAGAGTATTGGAGAATGTTTGTTACAGCAGCTCAATGCACTTTACAGCAAATGATGCCAATGGCAAACCACCACCAAGATGCATCTGCACCACAAGGCACTGCCTCAAGCCGCCACCCAGTTGGTGGTGGACCAGGATCTCAGAACTCCGGGAACAATGCGCCAGGAACATCTGGTACATCAGGGGCAAGTAATGCCGTAGCATCCAGTCAGTCTCAGGCCCCTCCACAACAGCAGCAGCAGCCGCAGCAGCAGCCTCCCCTGTCGGTAGGGAGCAACGGGCCTCAGACTCCTCACACCCCTCACACTCCTCACACACCTGGAGGACCCCCCAGTGTGCCTCCGCAGGGCTTGGAAGGCAGTGGTGGGCCAGACAGCTTGGCTCCTGACCTCAGTGAGTTAAGCTTCGACCCTGCAGCTGTGATCGATGGGGAAGGGCAAGGCCAGGAGGGGCTCAATGTGAGTAGCAGCAGGGCATTTCTCTCTAGCTGTATCATTGCTACCACCAAATATGCACAGACATATGCATGTGCACACACACACACACAAACACCATGATAAAAAATTGTACCTGCAAGATGTGGGTGTTTAGTATCTTGCAAAACACTACTCGATCTGATGATGCATTTCATGCCTTTACATTTGCTTACCATGCCGCTTTAGTGTCTCCACCCGTAGGGAATAGGTAATGTATTACGGTATCTGCTCGCATAATCCTCGCACTTTTTCTTGGCGGAAAACCGACGCAAAGTAGGGGGTACGAAAATCACGCGGAGAAAACTTTCCACGAAAACGTACAGAGCGAAAGAAAAAACAAAGTGGCCGCAAATTGGCATTCTCATACCAGCAACTAACAACTAGCTTTGATAAGTACTAATTAAAACTTACCTCAACAATAAGAGAACAGGTTCAACACTAGGCAAGATTTTTTTGAGACACAAAAAGTGCAAGCAAATAGTCGAGAATTAGAATACCATACGCAAAGCTTGTGGACGTTGTGGGCGTAGCGGTAGCGTTTGTCGCTCAACAGGAGCCCTCAAAAGCCAGGCATAGGGCGTCAGTATCGAGCTGATGGCTATTTAAGAGAATCGTCCGCAGTGTCCTTCTGAAGAAATAAAGTTTATCATCAATCCCAGTTTTAGGCACGGCAGGCCCAACGCGTCTTGGTGGCTTTCAGCTGCCGTCACCAGTGGCGAACACAAAACTTGTAGACTCTGAAGGGCCTACCGGCGGCCCTGTTGTCGTTGTATAGTGCATGATCTATCTCTTTCAACTTCAAAGCAGCCGTGTCGCTTCAGTATCGCCCCATAACGTGAAAAGATTACCGACACAACATACAAAACGCTGCAACACGCACTTGCCGCTTTGCCTTGCCTTAGATTAGATTGAATATTCGTGCAATAATAGTACGCTTGATGCTTAAGAGATGGCGCCAAATGGTGCGCGCTATCATCATCAGTGGCTGGAACGAGCAGACGACATTATTGTGGCTGTTTTTGGGGGTGTGATAATTACTCGAAAAAAAAAAAAAAAACGTATTTTTGTTGGGCGATATGGGGGGTGTGAGAATTATGCGAGTGCAAGGATTACGCGAGTAAATACGGTAGTTGTGCATGTAAATTTTAGTGACCTTTCCGATGTGGCTGTATATATACATCAAGAAAAAGAAGGTGCACAGTTCAAGAAATCTTTATGTACACTTTTATTTATTCACCCAAGTTCTATTTCAGTGGCCTTCAAAGCTCGGTAAAAGCAGCAGCTTTACTCCTTGCGAACGTTGTAAAATTGCGGAGGATTTCACTTCCTTCCATGGCGGGTGGCTCGTGGCATGGAAGGGACTGATGGCATTTGTTGCTCGTCATGCCATTGGACTTCGTGTGCTGCGTAAAATGGTCGAACTTATGATTTCAATGGAGGAAATGTAGCGAGCACAATTTTGATACATTTGCAAGTAATAAAGCTGCTGCTTTCGCTGTGCTTCAAAATAGCAACTGTGTGATAAAATCATAGAAAACTTCTGCTTTGCTCTAGTATATTGGTGTTTGTGCTGATTTAAGATTTCATGGGTCTCACCTAATTCTGTTTCGTTTGTGCAGCTGCTTCCGGAGAGCTGTGTTGATGCCATGGAGCTTCTGTCATACCTTGACCCACCTGACCTAGGAGGTGGTGCTGGTAGCACAGGCAGTAGCCATACTGGCCCAACTTCAAGTTCAACTGCATCTGGGAGCACTCCAGCTAATGACGATCTCCTTGCTTTGTTTGAACCTTGACTGGTGTGATGGAACTATTTTGTGCATCCAAACAGAGCCAACACGACAGAAACATCTTGTGGGAGACATCTGGCTTTGTGGTTTGCAGCATATTGTGATGCAGTTTGAAACTGATGCAGCTGTGACATTCACTGTGTGATTCTACCGACCGTCACACCAGCAAGCACCTAGAAGACTGGGCATCAGAACACCAAAGATAGGGAAGCAGGGATCAGACATTCAGATATTCATAGCAAGCTGAACATTGAAGCACTTGTGATTGCGTGAGTGTATGGCTGGTTGTTCAACGATAACAAAACCATCAAAAGTTTTCTTGGGTCATCTCAGAATTTTCATTTGGAGTCTTTGCATATTTGCAATTAGTTCAGATTTGTGGAGGTGATGTGGAAAGCAGAAAGTAGTCTGTCCAATGCAAGAAGTGACTACATAACAGAGATTACTTGTGAGCATCAAATTTTCTTGCACTATCTTGACTACCTTGAGAGAAAGCAGTTCGCACTAGATCGAGTGGGCTCGTGCTCTTGATATAGAAAGGTGCCCTAACACATTTCGGGGCCACCGTGTCTGGATGCTTGCGTCCTACTGTCCACGGTGCTGAATGAACAGGCCAGCCATCTCAAAGCAAGTGTCATTTGTGTGTTTTGCAATGCTAGCTAGAAATCTCGGCTTTTGAAGTGCTCTGCACAGCCAGAACATCGATTCGTTGCCACCATTACCTCATTTTGTACAGAAGACCGTCATTACTGGTGGCATTACCTGAAGCAGGTTCTGCAAGAACTGGTGGCGCAGCTGTAATGTGAATGCCCAGTATGCAACCGACCATCTCGCTGTGGGAAAAAAGCAGCCCACAGCTCCTCACTTGCACTACATCTGACGGCAACATTAACGGTCAAAACACTGCTGTGACCTTGTGTATATAGTTTTAATGGCACATTCTTTGTGTCTTATTCTTCAAATTCCTCGAAAAAATCCTGGTATGTTGTGTATGCATGTGAGAGTTGTGTTCCTGAATGTTGTACAGACTGTGGTTTTTTTTTCTTTGTGTCTCCTTTGCTAGTTGTTTGCTTTCTTCAGCCCTTGAGGATATATACATACACAAATTATATATATTATAAATAAATATATAAATATATATGTAATATTTATTTTAAGTGTGAGCCTGTATGTGCTGCAGCCTCCTTGTTTTTGTGGGGGCATAGTCGCCACTACATGTTACCACCAGCACATCTTGCACGTCGGTGTTTTCACAGCACTGGCATATGTGCACTTCATGTAGGCTCCCACTTGCAGTTTCCCGGGTTAGGCATTTGGCTGCAGTAAAGACTGGTGAAGAATATTTTATTCATTCTTCAGCTGTTGTGGCTATTTCATCGTCGCATTTATTATAGCCCAAATATTCATTTACTTTCGGGAAATTCGGGGGGGAGTTTGTTGTTGCTTGTTAAAGAGGCTATGCAACACTTTTTAAGCATGGTCAGAAAATGCTGCCGATCGGTTGTAGAGGCTGTCGACAACATGTGAGCCAAATAATATAGCGCAGCACGTGGCCTGGAATTTACAATAAATTATCAGTCAGCTAAAAGTAGCTTTCTCTTCTCTCGACAAATTGCAGAACAAGCCCAAAAATCACTCGTATTAAGCCCATCTATCAGCCATTAGCTGATTTGAACATGGCGCGCTCAGTTGCGCCGCAAAAGGCTGTCACTTGTCAACACGCGCGCAATCGCACTGAAAAATTTGCGTATCCGAAGAAGAAAAAAGTGCTTAAGGTCACGAGGCGCAAGTGACGTTTTTGTTTGGCCCTCCTGTATCTCCCTGCTTAACTTCCAATAGTTTCGTTGGGACGAGAAAAGAGAGAATGCGATTGCAGCGTGTGACAAATTGTTGCTACTCCGCTTGTACTGAACGGATTCTTAAAATTTTTGCAGCATTGAATTTGTAAGGTAATACACTTTTCCAGTGAATTAATTTCATGGTTACTGAGAAAAGTGATTCAGGGTCCCTTTAAGACAAATGAAGGAAGGAATAAATGAAAGGCGCGGTGGCAAACCAGAGCACACTCCAGGTGGCCACCCTGCTGTTGAGAAGGGGGTATGTGGTGTAGAGGCCTGTTTGTTTTGCAGTTTTGAAGTAAATAAAATTTTACATGAAAGGTACAACAGGAATCTGAAAGATTGCTAAGCTACCAAGCTGTTTGCAAATTTCTTCAGTAATCCGCTCGTGCGCTAGTAAACTACACCTGAAGTACTGAGTGTCCAGTTGGTGTTCATCGCACTGGTGTTCAGTGCAATTTCAATCTTGTATCAATCCTTTCCTGCCAGTTGCTGTAAAGGTAGTTACCATATACATTGAATGTCTTGTGTAAACCTAGCAACTGATTTTTTCAAGCAGGCTGCTAGTATCTTTTCTTTGTCATGGCTGCCACACATCACGTTATAATTGCTGGATGATTCTTTGATCATTTGTTGCTCCTTAACCATGAATTTGTGATATTTGAAACCTTATGTTTTATAATCTTGTTCTCTAGTACTTAATTTGTCCAAGTACCTGATTCTTCTAAGGCAAAATGTTGTCCTTATTTTTTTATGGCATGGGGAATTATTCAGACATCAGCACCTTTAGCCAGTCGGGACTGCAACCGAATGCTTTTGGTTGTCATTGTTGCCTTTTTGTGGACATGGGCAGTGTAATGGCTATTAGGTTCAGGAAGGCACTCTGCAACTTCAGAAGTTGGCTTATAGCAGATGCTTGATTATCAGGGCAGCAGTGTGGTACTGGAACAACAAATGAGACTTTTCAACAAATGAGAATTTTCATTTAATATAGCGGGAACGTCTGGCTAAAACTATGCTTGTGCTCAGTATACAGGCACTTTTAGTATCTGAGAAATTTGAGTACTTGTCATCTTGTCATTAGTTAAGCATGACACCCATACTAGTGGACAAAAAATTATTGTTCCCTAGTTTGTTCTTTAACAACCGTCTTGGAAAACATCTTGAGTCAACCTTTATTTGTTTCATGAAATGGCAGCATGTGCAAAAGACTACTTGCAAATTGAAGTAAGCTTGCCATATTATAAGCCACAATTCGCACAAGGGCATATTGATATGTAGACTTTATACCAGCTCTATTTGATATCAGCTCTTGTGGATATAAAATTGTGTCTCATAGCAGCCACTTTCCATTAGATCAGAAAAGCTCTTTGCTTTCAGTTACGTATGTCTTGCTGCCATGCAGTACTGACAATCACTTGATCCTATGTTTTTAAGCTGCTTAGAGAATGCATCCGCATTGCATCGTAAATTATGAATGTTAGTCAAAATAAGTGTCGTGCTTTTCAGCTTTGCTTCTGAGCTATTCTATTATGGCGATCTAAAAAGATTTCATGTCTACCTAGATGTAGCATTTTCACTTTAAACTTGTTTTTTTCATTGCTGCCAGGGGAAGCCCTCCCCAGACCTGTTATACCTCAGAACGTGCACAGCATGCAAAGCACATGAAGTGTTCCTCTCTTGTCTCACAGTAGTTGTACTCTCCCTGTATATATTGTCCAGCACAGGGCAAAAAACTCGTGTGTATTTCAGCCGGGAGGGTGCAGTGTCCTGTGTTGTGCTCCAAAGCAGTGTAGGTAGTGACACAATTCAGTTTTTTGTAGCCTAGTGACAAATAAATATATGCATCATAGAAAACGTGCACCTTAAAAATTGCCAAGTGTATGTGATGGCTGCCACTGTTGCAATGACATAGCCTACTGTAAAGGAGCTAGGTATTTATGCCTAGCTTTCTGATAGACCACAGCAACGAAAACTTCCTATATAGGATTATTCTTGAATGTCAAATTCTTTTAATGTTTGAATATTGAAGCTTGATTGAAAGTGTTGCTGAGGAGATCTTTTGAGACTTTTATTGGGAGGATGAAGGTAGTGGATAAAAGGTGGAAAAAGAAGATGGTTGGGTTACACAAGCATAACATGTTGCCCTGTCTTGGAAATGAAAACAACCAAATCTGGTGGTCATTTTGTTTTTCATTCTTCACTTTCTCTTTGCTGCATAAACTCGAAAACAAAGTACAGTCGAACCTCTTTATAGGAGACATTGATATAAGAGACACCAGTGTGCCTACAGTGAAATACGAGTTGATGGGAAAATGCATACATGCTACCATGCTTATAATAGACCTCTCATATAAAGGTCAAGAACTGCTGTTCAGAGCATGCCTCTTATAAAGGGGTTCAACTGTAATACTACGGAAAAAACAAAATGAGGTAGCAAAATAGAACAGTGGACGATTGGCATGATATGGCAAACAACATGGGCATCCAGCATTTTGCTGCTATTGAAGCAGCATAAAGATGGCACTTGTCCGTTTAGTAGCTTGTGCAAGCAGCCTGAACTCATGTAAATCAGAAGGCCATTGCAACCCGCCAGGTGGAGACAAGCATGACTTTGCTACATGGCAGCCTGCTTTCACAGGATTCTTTTTGTCTTCCCTCACAAAGCACATGTGCATACAGACACTTTATTCACCTTATTTTTGTTTTCACAACTTGTACATATTGTAAAGTGCTTACAATGCGGAACACAGCTTGGAAGTCCATGTCAGCAACTGCTAGATGCTCACATGCAAAAGTGCTCCTACCAGCCCTAATGCCTCCTTGTACTGTGAAAATAACTTGTATTTAAACATGCCCCTGTTACATCATTAGATGCTTGCTTAGATGTCGTCCGGTTCATGTCACTTGTACAGGTCTCACTTCATATATAATATACAGAAAAAGTCTCATTTTCAGCTTCACTGCATATTTTATTATCTTTATATGGGCAGCTGTTTTTGCCAGCAATATTGCTTAGCTTGTGAACTTACTAAAAATTTGAAAACTAGGCTAAGTGTAAAAATATTCAAATGGAGATTGAAGTTGTGCAGTGTGCATTGAAAGACTGGAGTCACTGCACACAAAATGAGTTCTAAGCTGAGCTGTTAAGTGTTCTGTCTAAACATGTCGTTTGGCAGGCCATTTTATTAGGAGCTTGAATTTTCGCCCTTTTTTATGTTCTGTAATTAGTTAACGGAAGCCCTTGAAACTTGTATAAGTGCTGTCATTGTAGTCTGTGTCAGTCTCTGCAGCACTGCAAAGATGGCATAAGGGCTGAAGAGAGTACATTTGAAGCAATTAGAAGTGCTTCTCTTTCTCAGCTGGAAAGTCATTGCAAGTAAGCTTTTTAGGAAGCTGCCCGATTTTTTTTTTCTACTTCGCTTAGTTCGCATTACAGGATGTTTGAAGCTAACAGCTTTAAAACCACTAGAAGTGACAAATTGTAGATGTGTAGTTACATTCAGCCATTGTGTGCTTTTGATGTCAACGGGCGGTCACCCAATTCAGACCTGGTGTGGCACATTTTGGCATTTCTGCCATCAGCAGATATACTAGGTGATCAAACGGCTTTGTTTTAAAATTTAGTCGTGTTGATACACTGTTGTTATGCAGTGCTTTCCTGTGCATTTTTTCTTGTTTCACTTTTAAAAAGTGTGAACAGAATGAAGTGCTGATTCTCTTACCTTAGCTTGGGAGCATGGGGTTCCTGCTCCTTTCTTAGTGGGTTAAAAAACACAAGTTTCGCAAAGGCAGAGTTGTGCAGCGTACGTCATATCAAACAGTTCCTATATGCATAAAGCACAGCTTTTTGATCTGGTGATGGTGGGGAACATTGCAACGAAACATCCTCTTTTTTTTTTTGTTTCAAACCAGCACAGAGAAGGGAAGCACAACAGGGAACTGTTCCCTCTCCTCATGCGTTTTTTTTTTCCTTTCCTGTTTTCATGCTCCTTGTCTTGTTTGGCAAATTATTTGGTCTCATGTGCAACGGGATGGCCTCTTGTTTTATCGTTCATTGTTCTCTCTTCATTTGCTTGAGTGACCTTAGTGTGACAGCAGCATTCATTGATAGAGTTCTTGTCCATACCATTTCATGTTCTTCTGTTTGTCATATTTCTAGTGTAGATATCCATATTTATACAATAAAATGTTTATATAACACAAGAGTCTTGTGACAAGTCTGTGGTGCAACGCTTATGACACCTGCCATTTTCGCCCACATGTCTGTTTTGGTAGTGTCATTGTAGGCTGCTCGAAAGACGCAAGAAACTGGAAGGGCATTGAATGTGTAAGTGAATGCGGGACTGAAGACACTGTTGTCAAATATATTGATCATCATTGCTGGCAGATTTATCATTTTACTGCAACATTCAAATGGTTATAGTCTTAAGAACAGAGTAGTTTATTTTTACTAAAGTGTCAGGTTTTGATTTGGTTGCAAATTAAGTAATGTTGTTTGCACTCGACTGTCACAAGTAGCGTTGTAATGTGGGACAAGGCTATTTGTGCGGACTGGCATGGCGGATGGACGTGTTTAGCGAGGGCTTCTGATCGACTGTGCAGATAAGTGTTTTTGTATGTTTCGAGCTTGCTTTTATAATTTATAAGGCAGCAGCGTAAACCTTTATAGCACTTGTTACATTGTAGGGCTTTTGAGGGGGTCAGTCACCTGGTATTTTTTTTGTTAGTGTGTTCTTTCTCTCCTGCCACCCCGTCGGGGGGGGCGGGGTGCACGCACACAAAACGCGTAAATTTTTGTAGTAGAGCTTAGACTTTTTTTGCTTAGGGCAAAGTTCGTCGTACGCCGCGTTTTGTAATTTTCGAGTGAGACAATTCAGCAAGACAATTAGTGTCAAAAAGACACGGTTAAAAAGACTAAACTGTTTAGGATGCGGGGTGGTTTGATAATGGAGGCTAGTGCGGGCACGAGTGCAGAAGAGGCTGACGCCAAGTGTAGGCAATGTGAGGTGAAAAAAATGGTGAAAATGATGGTTGCCTAGGGTGAACTGCTAATGAGAATCGCCGAGCTGTAGACTGCCTTGGCGACAGAGCGAGAAAAAACGAGGGCTTTGGGAGAAAGGCTTTGGTCAGCTGAGGAGACACTAGCGAAGGTGAACAAAGGAGCGGCTGATGGCGAGAACGGTAGAGCGCCGGCACTCAGAAGGCCGGAGAAGAAAGAAAAAAAAACAGGTTTGGAAAAAAGAAGTTCAACCGGTTCAATGGTCACAAGACCCAACATCGGCAAAGTAGTGGGGGGAGGAGACCAGGCAACTGGCATCACAAGCGCGAGTAACCTCCAGGTGCGCGATAGTCAAGCAGAAAAATCGCAGCAAAAAGTGATAATCGCCGTGAAAATCAAATTGAAATCGATGCGCAGAAGCAATCAAAGAGAGGGTAAGAGGCGACAAGAAAGTTTCAGAAGGGACGTTTCTAGGTCGTAAGCTGGAAGCAGTGATGAGGCAAAGGAGCGCAAAAGTCGCAACTAAAGCTAATGGACGAAGCCTCGTAATGATTGCGGGAGGTCTAAACGATGTCTTGAATGAAGAATTGGCAGGACTAATGACCACATTGGCGAAAGGGGTCGATGACATGCGCGTTATTTCCCCTCAGGTACAGGTAGTGATATGCACAATACCGGAGGTGCCGGTGCGTGTCGCCTACGTGCAAAGAGCGGTTATCGACGCAAACAAAAAGATATGGCAGATGAGTCGAGAGAAAGGCTTTGAGGTAGTGGAAATAAACAGAGATGTGCGTAGGTGGGGTGGTGCTTTTCAACGGGACAGAGTTAGGCCCAATGGCCCACAAAAATTCGGTGGACATCCACTGGTATGCTTGTTTTGGACATACGTACGTCTGATGGAGATCCTCAGAAATCCGTCAGCCCTTATGCGCAAAAAAGGAAAAGAAAGAAATGTCGATCCCTCGAACGTGCTTTCGGTGACAAAAACCGCACGTTCGGCCACAGGGGAGATCTGCACGGTGGCGTAGCCAGAAAAAGGGGGGGGGGGGGGGGGGTCCAATCTTTCAATGAAATTTTTCGTCCAACACCCCTTCCCTCCCCCTGCCACTTACCCAACTTATTTTTTTTTTTCGTCGCTTCGCGCTGACACGATATAGATACTAAGCGCTGATACACAATATCAATCCTGGGTGCTTTTACAATGAATGATGTCTGCATACGGAAAAACGTGTGGCGGTGTTTCACAGGGCCTAAGCACTCTTTGAGATATTGGGCAGGAATCTTGGCTGCGAGTGTTTATAAGTTGGCTCGGTGACGGGAAGCGCTGGTCATGCTTGTACCAGCGGGAGCAGATCTCGCCGGAGTCGATCACTACGACCATTTTCAATAGCAGATCGAGGTTCGCTCTAATGAAAAAAAAAAAATCTAGAGAAAGTTTGTAGGACTGATTGGCCACGTTCAAGCATATTACAATGTGAATCTTCGTACGTGTGCTAAGGTATACTCAGGCCTGAGAATAACATTTCTGTTCAGGTGGTCAAAATTTCCGGAGCCCTCCACTACGGCGTCTCTCATAATCAAATGGTGGTTTTGGGACGTTAAACCCCACAAATCAATCAATCATTAACATTTCTGTTGAACTTTCGCACGTTCTGTTAGCATCTGAACACACACGCGCGCGCGCGTGACACAATATTCGGTTCATACACCTAATTTGGCTTGTATGCGAGTGTACGATAAACATATACATATCTTTACTATGCTCCAATGGGTGCTAAATGGTGCTTCCGAGTGCTAAAGGCACTCAGAAGTGTTGTCTAGTGACGAAGGTGCAACACAGGCGAACTCGCAGGTCAATCACAGCCTGGGAAAAGCCTACTTAAATACTCATCTTGTAACTTAGGTTGACAAATAAAAATATGGTGATCATAAACCTAAAGGCGTGTAATGAGAAATGCAGTGTGGGCAGTTATAGTGAGCAGAAGCTTTATTATCGAGCACGGTGGCAAACAGCACAAGAATAAGGAACACAAAGCTGAAAAAATATACGACAAATTATATATAGTGATTTGCTTCATCTGTTTGTTTCATTACAATTACATGACTAGAAGGGCACACCGAGCAATTTCGGCAACTAGCGACTTGACGCACGACAAAGAATGCACAGAATGAAGAAACATCGGTGGGCATGCTATCACGTGAAATTACTAGCAATATACACAGCAAGCATAATTTTTTTACAAGAAATGAAAAAAAAAAAAAAAACTCTGTGCAAGCAATGTCCAACGCAGCAAAGAGGCGCACAACATAGCGGAATACTGATGTTTATTGTTTTCAATTAACACGAAGATTATCTTGCGCATTCATAATATATGCCCTATATGCTACTCGAAATTTGTGAGAATTGCCACATGAAAATTTGGGTTGTTGCATTGCCGTTCACACCTTTCGTACGCGCGAACCATGTCTGCGAGTGAAAGGTGCCACTGAAAAGCAAGGAGTATGCAACGGGAGAGGACGGAATCACTCTGCCGTGCTGTTAAAGGGATTTTAAGCAATATGTCTCATACAGTTGAACTTGCTTCTTTTCAGCTGGACAAAAATTAGCGCATGCCTATTTTACCTAAACCGTCCTTTCCGTCAAGGTGGTGCAGTGATGATGGTGCTCTATTGCCGCAGGTAGTGGGATCGAATTCCTGTCGTTTTTTGATGTAGGCGAAAATTTGGGGGGACCATGCAGTTTGATTTAGGTGCATGTTAAAGAACCAAAGTGGTGAAATGTCTGGAGCGCTCCACTATGGCTTCTCTCGTAATCACATCGTGGTTTTGGGGTGTTAAACACTATCAATTGACCTTTACCAACTTGTGTTTTTACTGTTCAGAAAACATGAATCCGAGAACAACTTCAGTTAACTTTCTTCCTTGGCAGGCGCCTATGGTTGGTACTACACACACAATTACCTTAATCCATCTACGTTCCCGCTAAACAACGGAGATAATGTCTTTTGGGTGCACTTGTATTTTACGGTGGATGCTCAGAGAGCGGTACCAAATAATCTTCAATTTGTTGTCAAGTACAACTTTAAGCATCTCACGGATGAAAAAGAGAGTTCTCATCAGCAGAGTTGCCAGAATCTTTAAAAGGTGGTGTACGTTTGGAAAGAATACCTTCGTGCAATTTGCGACCGCTTGCGTGGCAGAAATGCTCAGCGTTTCTCGCTTCTGTCGCTCTGAATTGGCAGGCCATATATTGCTAACTCCCCTTGCAATGCCGAAGTTGAGATAATGTTCGAGTACACGTCAGCAAAACTCTGGTCAGTGTGGCAGATTCGGGAATTTTTTGTGGCAGAAGCGAAGAAAGCATCTTCAAGGTGTGCCGATCCCTTTTAAAGCGCGCATTCAACTGGTCTAACAAATAACCCAGCTAGCAATACCGAAACCCTTAAGTGCTCTTCAACGCTAACCACTGGCACGTTACTTCGGTGAAGCTGCCTATCTGTGACAAGCGGTATACTCATTTTCGTTAGTTGTCAAGCGTACACTGGGAGCAGCGTCGCCTTTCAGGAAGTAATCATAAAGCGTTATACCGTAAGCGTTTCGGCGCGACCACCGAGTCTCATAGAAGGGCGCTCATCGACCCAGGACACGGACTACCCAGCAATACGTGTGGGTAGTGTATTTCAAGGGGGTGACTTCGCATTGCAAGGAAGCAACGCGCTCAGCAAAGTTTGGGCAGTGACCCTGAATGCGAGAAACGGCCACTTTAGCGACGCTATACATGTCGCCAGATGAAGTTCATCCTTGAACACTAGCGCGCGTTTCTCGCCTGGCGGAAAGATTCGCTGGCACACATTTTCTCCGCTTCTCTTCAGGTGCCGGTGAGGTCATGCTCTCCCAGTATCTTACTCTGTGCGCGAGACGTCTCACACTTGTGATTGCGCCCATATAGAAGGCTGGTAGTTTCTGTCGCGTTGTGATGAAATACCACAAACGTGGATGAACGCGAAGGAGTTGGTGGCAGCAGTGAAATTCCAGCGACTCGCATCAGAATTCTCGAAACAGACAACAAACAGGCATGGGCGGTGCACAGTAGATCGTGTTGCGTGCGCTGGCAGTTCTCGTGGATTTCACGCGTTCTGAGAAATGGATCATGGCGCACTCTGCTTTGAACAACTCCGGAGTTCATTCCTTCATCACTGGTGAACCGATCACTGAAGATTTTGTGTGGTTCGAGTCTGCTCCTATTCACACCGGTGTAAGTGCTAGAAACATGAATGCCGTATTCTGCGCGGTGAAATATTCTGTATACAGTTCTGAATCTGTTGACGTAAAGAGAAATCTCGGCTGCACGCTTGCAAACAACGGAAGACATCTTGCCGCAACGCTATCGTTTCAGGGAGCTGAGTGAAGAAAGCTACGGAAAAACAAACGAGGACATTCTGCGTTTTATTGCGCGTATTTAAGTGTTTTAGCTCATATACGCAGCGAACAAGCTATAGTTTTATGTCAGTAGGTATAGTCCGGTCGCACGTTCACTTTCGATCAAGACCAAGGGAACATTTCTCATGAATGATTACCTTGCCCTCACAGTTTGCATGATAATACCTCTACTATTGGAGTACTTCATTGCTATCAGAAGTCACAATGCAACGGAAAGTCTGCCTGGAAAAGAACGTGTGCTAAATCGTCTCGCAAACGTGCAGCATATCTTAGAAAAAATTACTCATTGCGTAAGCAAGCATGCTTGGGTTCGCGCAGTAAAGTAAAAAATGCTGACTAAAAGCTACCACTGCGTCAGGGCTGCTTGACATATAGAGATTAACATAAAAATAATCCCCATAGGCATGCAGTCACAGACATCGACAGTAGGAAATTCGCTCAGCAAAGTAAGAAAAAACCTAAATGTAAATATGAGTGTACAAAAACATGCTGCGTATACCTCTCATTCCTAGTTGTAAGCGGAACCCTCCTTGACCTGTCAAACGCACTTTGCCCCGATGAGGAGAACGCCATCTACGCTTAACAAAGATTTACGATGTTTTCTCCGTTCGGGTGGGTCAATGCAATAATGCGTTTTAGAAGAGTAGTCCAGTCAATGGTGCGACGAGAGGCCGTTGCTCCAAATGGTCATTGTACCTGTCGTTTACTGTATTTAGAGTACTTCTTACAGTACTGCCCCGCTACCGTGGTCTAGTGGCTAAGGTATACTCGGCTGCTAACCCGCAGGTCTCGGGATCGAATCCCGGCTGACGCGGCTGAATTTTTGATGGATGCAAAAATGCTGTAGGCCTGTGTGCTCAGATTTAAGTGCATGTTCAAGAATCCCAGGTGGTCTAAATTTCTGAAGCTCTCCACTACGGCGTTTCTCATAACCATATGGGTTTTTCAATCAATGATTCTTCCAGTACATTTACTTACTCTCTTCACAGCCATACGCATGGGGAGAAAAGAATCTCATGACTTGATATACATGTACACCATCTGTTTAAAATACCGCCAATAGTGACGTCACAGAGGAAAGCTGATGCCTGTGCCCCTCCGCTTTTCCCCCTTAGTCAGGTTGGTTTGACCCCCCCCCCCCCCCGGAAAAAATTTCTGGCTACACCCCTGGATCTGCAGTTAGCCCTTTCAGTACGTGCACTGGACATACCTGGTAATATCGCCCAAATTACTGGACGTTCATCGGACATGAATTGCCTTATGGCACACAATAGAAAGTTCGCCCTCGCCATACGAGATTGGTCGAGGGTCCCGCGCACGCACTACAACAGGGACGTTTACGCGGGCTTCGACCTATTGCACATGACAAGAAGGAACGTTCCATTTGAGCACGTAAATAAGATCGTGCCCATAATGAACACCTTAGTACTGAAGCATTAAACCTGTGAGGTAAAATGCATACTTGACTGGCTTTTCTTACAGCATAGCATGCTGCATCTAAGATATTAAGTAAATAAGGACGGGGCACATGTACGGGGCGCAGCAGTGTATATTTATTTTAGAAACTTCAAATGACTTTCGAAAGCAATATAAGCTTTCGCATGAAATTTAATGAACAATGACGATCATATGATGCCCTCCGGGTCCCGTTGAAGAAAGTGCACTGGCGGTCGCTTTAGTATAGGTGCGGTCCCAGGCCCAAGGTCTTGCACAAGCAGCACTGAAGAAAACTTGCATAGAAGAAAAAGTAAGTAAGCTACGTATGAGTTCAGAAACATCAGACAGATTTCTAGTTATAGATGTGATAAAATTCTGTCATGTATTTGTAAATAACAATCGATCATAACTGCACTCAGGCGAGGCGCGTATATGGTAGAAACGTACACTTCGTCGGTAACTGGCCGGCATACTTGTTGGCAAGCATGCTTATACAAGTACGTTGATGTAGCTCTTGATCACCTCAAAAGCTTCGGGGTAGATGTAGGCATACTCGTGAGACTGCAGGAACTCGAAGTGGTTCATGCCAAAGCACTTCAGCAGAAGCACGGCATACGGGTTGGCCCCCCCTGGCTGCGCGTCTTGGGCGCCGAGCCGGAGAACGTTGTCCAGTCCATTCAGTGCCAGCTGCACCACTTCCTGGTCTTCCGCACTAAGCAGTTCGCACAGAGCATCTATGCACTTTTGCTGCACAAGGAAGCGCACCTGGTTCGGAGAGCCACCCGAAATGGCGTTGGTGATGGCCCGTGCGGCCTCCTTCTGGATCTCTAGATCGCCTCGAGACAGCATGCCTGCCAATACCGGAAAGATGTTGGCGTCGATGACGGCCTGTATCTGCTGCTGGTTGCCGGCCGTGATGTTGGAGAGTGTCCAGCACGCATTCTTGCGTATGGACTCCTCGGGGGACGAGAGTAGGGCTAGCAGGCAGGGCAGGGCGTTACAGTTGATAACCTCCTGAATTTGCACGTCGTCTCCGGTGACGATGTGGCCGATGGCCTGCAGCGCTTCCGACACTACCGATTGAATTTTGTGAGTCAGGAGTTTCACGAGCCGCTTGCAAACGCCTGCGTCGATCACAACCTGTTTCTGGTGGTTCGGCCCATAGGATAGGTATGATAGCACGCGGCAAACATAAGTCAGCACTTCCGGGTCGCGGGCGAATAGCACACGCAACAAGATGGGTAAGCATGACTGCACCTTCTCGAACCGTGGCGTTCTCCAGCACAAATTGGAGAGCGCCCACGTGACTTGACGTTTCATCAAGACGCTCATTGACTTCTCGAAGAGCTCTAGCAGCGCCATCAGGGTGCCCTGGTCGAGCACGTAGTCGCAGCACTCTGATGAGTAAACGGCGATGTTGCCCAACGCCACGACGGCCAGCTCCCGCACCTTTTCTTTCTCCGAGCTCAGGAGGCACACGAACACAGGCACGGCACCGGCTTTGACGACGCGCCACGTCTGCAGCGACGTGCCACCAGTGATGTAGCTGAGGCACCAGGCTGCCTCGTACTGCAGGATGATGTGGTCGTCCCGCTGCATCAACGGGACAAGCATTGGCACCATGCCCGTACTCAATACGTCGTCTATGGGTGGTTTCGGGTCTTGCAACAGGAGCTTGCCGATGCACTGAATGGCTTGTATCTGAAGCTCGGGGCTGTCGGCGTACAGCTGGGACACCATCTCGTCGACCATGACTCCCGCTCGCTCGGGTCCCGAGCCGCCTTCTCCGTGTGATGCTGGAGCTCCGAGGTTACGCAGCTGCACACCCTCTTCTTCCCTCCGCCGCCTCAAATCTTGGGCGTACCCTCCAGCGTTCTTGCCGCATCGACGGCGGCTATTACCTCTCGCCGCTATTCCACCGCGAGCCATCACACGCACCTGCACGAAAACAATCGAAACTAAGGAAATCTGCGTAGGCTTATCGCCCAACCGCGAGACGGGCACCGCGATCGGAGATTTAGCACCCGCGTCGCGATCTCAGTCGCAAATACGAGCCTACGACTGCGGCCACCCCATCGTACCTCTGTACTCGCTCTCATATAACGCGATGTCTGCGCCGGTGTCGCCGCTAGGCCTTCAGAAGTCACTGTCGCAGCTAGCCTCTTTAAATACTGATCTGCCACTCTGGCAACAGCATTTACGGAACAACACGAAGCACGCTATACCAACTCGTGAAGCTGCTGTCTCGCAGATTAGACATAGCGGTAAGTTACCGAACAAAAAGCAATGATTTTCTTCAGAAACCATGAATGTGGAACTCCACATACCTTTCTGTTTGCAGCACAACGCAAAAGATTCCTTCAAAAGTGGAGTTAAACAAGTTAAACAACTAGAAGTAAATCTGGCGCCAGAGTCATTCAAACATAAAAGTTGCGAAACTCCCCCTAGGCTGAATGTATCCAAACTGAAACACAATATTGGCTGAGTGGCAGAAGTAAATAGATTGTAGCGCCGTCTTTTGACAACACAACTAACTAGAAAACGCAATATTTTGTGTTCTAGCGTTTAGCAAGATTGTGAGCACCGTTAAAGTGTACAAAAAGGGGGCAGTAGAGTGAACGAGGTAGCCGTGCCGTATCTCGGCTGATTCTCCGGCGGTTTACAATAGCGGCGGCGCTGTAGTCCCATGTTCTGTAAAGGGCTTCACCCTATAGTTCAGGATGATGGCGCAGAGTTTTTCAAAGCACTGGAGTTTAGGGACCGGGAGGGCAAAATAGACTTTAAGCAAGTAGACTTAACTAGAAGGAGGTTATTTGATTGGTGGCTAAAGTCAAGGCACGAGTGAAAATTAAACTCTTCACTGCAAAGTACGAATCCTCAAACTCACTTTTTAAGGGAAAAAATATTGTTTTTGGTTCATTAAGTATTACGGCTTGGTGGCGCTAGCCACCGCCCAATCTAAAGGGTACAGCCACGGAGGAAGGAAAAAGGTAAGGAGAGGGCATGCCCAGCCGGCGCCGGGCGTAAAAAATGTGGCGGAAATGACATCATGGCGGCCATATTTAATAGGCACAATGGCGGCGTTGTTATGGTTACGTGTTGCGCAGTGAAGCTGGTCTAGCAGTGAGCGGCCGCGACTGGCGGCGGAATGTGTGCCTCCCCAGGTCTCGTGCTGAGCCGTGGCGGACAATATCTGTGCTCTGCGCCGCGTAATTGGTTACGCAGTGTTCGTCTGGCTGTTACATTACTCTTAGCAACGTTTACAAATCTCTTTGTCCATCACGGGGTTTCAACAGTGCGTAGAACAAGTGCATATCTATGTGTCGTGCGGCGGATGACGTGGATGAAGCAGTTAGTGTTCAGCGAAATTGCGTTGGGCACCATGACGAAGCTGAATGACGACGAACGCCTTGCAGGTCAGTGACGGTTGAGCAGTGCTCCTGCTTGTGTCAATGGACGACGCTGTTGGGCCCAGCAAGACGCCATGAAGACCATGTGCACATACGTAGTTTCGTGTTGTGTGTGTACAGTAACAACTTGCATGTGCGTATTAAAACACCTTTTCTGTTACGCTTGGTACACTCTCCACCAGCATTGCATGTAGTCTCAACGTAACAGCAACCGCGTTCAACTGTCACTAGCACCGTGCTCAACGTCACCATGGTCGCAGAATGCTGACGCCGGTGAGTTTCACGCGGAACACGGACACAGTGGCAGGACGCTGCGTCGGCTGCGTGGCGGAATGCAACCGTAGAAGGCGCACGACCGATCGTGTTGTCTGTACAGTTGCTGAATTAATGACGTGAAAGCACTCGCCGTTGTCAGTGCATCTAGCGCGCGTTCTCTCGTAGTTGCTTCGTTGTCGGCGAGCTGTTACTCCCTGTTATTACTCGGACGAAGCGATTTCGCTGAAGGTGTCCCGCAGGCTCAGAGTAATGAGCCCCGTTCCATTAGTTTCGGATCGTCACGACACACGCGATGCGCAGCCCACGTGCTTTCCGAGCCGGAGGGAGAGTCGTGCCTTCTGCTTTACATTCGGATGTAAACAACCGAGGAGAATTCGCCTAGTCAATATGGCCGACTTCCAGCTTCATCCCGGCTTCACAACGAGTGACGTCAGGGCCTCTCCTTACCTTTCCTTCCTCCGTAGTACTGAAGATCCCAAAAGCGTCTGCACTAGGAGCGCGCACGCCCGAGCCTGCGAAAGCGTGTAATTGCTCGTTTTTAGGGCGTTTAATGCGTTTCTGAGCCTTTATCAGTGGATGCACCTGCTACGCGTCATGGTGCACGAGTGAAAATGTGGGCACGCCAAAATTACACCCTACCTCCACCGCATTATGCCAAACAGTAATGCCAACTTTAAGAAAATTTCCCTAGATATAAGGAATTTTGTTGTATATAGAGGAAAAGAGAAATTTGTCAGCGTCTGGAGAAATTTTTCATTTCCGCGCAAAGCAAGCAGATCGATGGAGGCATAAAGTTTCATACAATAAAAAATTGGCCCCGTAGGTACATTTAATCTGCAGATGTCGTCGAAAGACGACAGTCTTGCGTGCGGAGAGAGTGAACAAAACATGTATTTGATGTTCTGCTCAAGAAAATCAGTGAATGGCGTTCTGGAGGTACTGCGTTAGAGTGCCTCGGACGTGCAGCGGAGGTATAGCGTACTAGATTATGGGGTAGTGTGTTCATGGAGGAGCCGTGGCTGACGCATTTGGTATTGACAGCCGCGAGATGGCACCACCTTAGCATGGGTTCGGGCTGTCACGGTGGATGGACGTGTTTTTCGAGCGCTCTGGATCGACTGCGCAGATAAGTGTTTTTGCATGTTTTGAGCTTGTCTTTATAATTATAAGGCAGCGGTTGAAATCTTCGTAGCACTTATTTTATGGTACGGCCTTTTCGGGGGCCAGTCACCAGGTATTTATTAGTTAGTGCGGGTGTGTGTGTTTGAAATTTTTTGTTGTTTTTTTTCCTTTTGCCACCCCGTGGGGGAGGTGCGCGTACATTGAACACGCAAATTTTTGTGGTAGAGTTTAGACTTTCGTTTTTTTTCGTAGTGCAGGGCTCGAGTTTAGTAATTATCGAGTATAGGGTCAATTGGTGTCAGAAAGACATGGCTAAAAAGACTGTAAAGTGTTCAGGATGTGGAGTGGGTTTGAAAGTGGACCCAAGCGTAGAAGCGGATGGAGAAGAGGCTGACGCGAAGTGTAGGCAATGTGAGGTCGAGGAAAAAATTGAGAAAATGATGGTTGCCCAAAGTGAACTGCTGGTGAGAATCGATGAGCTCGAGACTGCGTTGGCGACAGAGCAAGAGAAAACGAGGGCAATGGGAGAAAGACTGAAGTCCACCGAGGAAGCACTAGCGAAGCTGAACAAAGAAGCGGCATACGGAGAGAACAGTAGAGAACCGGCAACCAGAACGGTGGAGAAGGAAGAGCGAGCAAGTTTGGAAAAAACAGGTTTAGCCGGTTCAACTGTCGCAAGGCCCAGCTTCAGCGAGGTAGTGGTGGGGCTGGGAGGGGAGAAATCAGCCGGCGTCACAGGTGCAAGTAGCCCCCAGGTGCAGGACGCTCCAGCTGAAAAGTCACAGCATGTGATAATCGCCGGGGATTCGAATTTAGGTCGATGCACAGAAGCCATCAAAGAGAGGGTAAGAGGTGACAAGAGGGTTGCAGTAGGGGCGTTCTTAGGACTCAAGCTAGAAGCAGTCATGAGGCAAGCGAGCGCTAAACTCAAAACTACAGCTGATAGACGAAACGTCGTGATAATTTCAGGTGGTTTAAATGATGTCCTAAATGAAGATACAGCAGGACTAGCAGCCACACTGGCGAAAGGCGTCGATGACATGCGCGCCACTTCTCCTAAGGTACAGGTAGTGATATGCACGATACTGGAGGTACCGGTGCGTGATAGCAACCTGCAAAGAGCGGTTGTCAACGCAAACCAAGAGATATGGCGGATGAGTCGAGATAAAGGCTTTGAGGTGGTGGAAATAAACATACAGGTGCATAGGTGGGGTGGTTTTCAACGAGACAGAATTCACTTCGATGGGCGGCTAGGTCATGAGGTGGGTTGGCGACTTGCAGGACGCGCAGTAGCTTTTTTGGGGGGCAAGCGAGCCCTTCGGGGTGCAGGATAGCTAGTAACAAGGAAAACAACCAGGGAGACTCTTCGACAGGGGTTATGGACATATACGATTCCAAAGTGGCACCAATGTCTAAGATAGGTAGAGTCCGGGGCATAAATAGACGTAGCCACGAGCGCCGAGCCCATTCAGACATAGGGTATATTAACATGCAGGGTAGTAGGAACAGGCTGAAGTGGGAAGAGATAGAAGAACAGCTAAGGGAAGAGAGGCCGATGGTATACGGTTTTGTAGAAACACATCTCAGGGATATGGAACAACCTCCGAACAATCCGGACTACGCATGGGAATATTGTAATAGAACAGAAGGCAGCAGAAAGGGGGGTGGTATTGGGGCATTCATTCATAAAAGTACAGACTGGCAAAGGGTCAAGCAGGAGTGCAAGGAACATTTATGGCTAAAAGGGAAAGTGGCAGGTCAAATGACACTCCTTGGTTTCATGTACTTGTGGACGGGAGCAAAGGCCAGAGAGGAAAACCAGGCAATGGTAGAGTGTATATCAAAGGACATTCAGCAGTTAGGAAGAGAGTGCGAGATAATTATACTAGGAGACATGAATGCGCACATAGAAGATATAGATGGGTATACCGACCCGACAGGCAAAATGACCATTGATATGTGTGAAAGGCTTGATTTGATCATTTGCAACACTACCGAGAAGTGTGAAGGGCAAATGACATCGGAGGTAGGAAGGCTGCAGTCGACGATAGATTATGCACTCATGTCACACAGGATGTATGATAAGCTCAGGGGAATGCACATAGATGAAGGTGGCTCCAG